CTTCAATTTGGTGACCTTGAGCAGGTCTAAACAGAGTGAACACCTATTGTATTTTTGTATGCGTAGCACGCACAAAAAATGTATCACAAACCAGCCAAACTACCCAGGTTTGATTACCACTTGCATATTTATGCAAATGACCCCTGATGGCTTCTGTGGAAGTGACACAAAGCAGAAAGGTGTCTTACGGTTCGTCTCCAAAGGAGGGGGGTCCTTGTCCAATTAGACCGAATCTGCGAGGACATCGAGGCACTTGCTGTCAGTGGGGCATTGCATCTCTCCCAGTGGTCTGTGCCCATCCTAATGAATGCCAGCATGCACTTTACCTGCAGAAAATTGACTTCCCTGTTCTAAACAACACATTTAGCCCAGCATTTGCTCGGCGTCTAGGGAACGTCAGCTGTATTCTCTGTCTCAGTTCCTTTCCTGCCAGGTAGACCTTTATACATGATCAAGACAGCATCTTAAAATAGCATGCTGGAGATAGTGCCGCTCAGCACACTCCAAACGTTAGCTAATTGCCACAGCAGCCCGGCACAGCGCTCGCCTGGGACTGTGCTCTGCATTGATTAGAAATTCTCACACATGGGGAAGTGTGGGGGAAGGATGGCAAGAGGCAGTGAGAAAGAAAAGGAAGATCGAATCAGGCAAGCAAACAGAGAGAGCAACTGGTAGATCCAGCTGGGACTGGCAGGGATGAAGGCAGCAGCACCACGAGGATGCACAACTGTTACAAGCTGGAGGGCTTGATTTTTCTGCTCTTAATGCTATTCTCACCAGCTACTGCTGCAGTGTGATACTCCTGCCAATGCCAATGTGCATGATGGCCACTGCAGAAAGGTGACAAGACTACCAGAGAGGACAGCACAAATAGCTCAGACTAGGTAACAAACCGGGAAAAACGACAAATATCTCTGCAGAGCCCCAGTGGGAGTCAAAACTGGACACACAGCTGTGACCAGACCCTGCCTCCATGCCTTGCCTTCCCACTAGGGCAGAGAGCCACCCGGACAGCCTTCAGACACACCACACTTTGAATGTACCTCCCCTCCAGGCCAGGGAAGCTAGATGCACACACCTCACTAGATCTCCCACAGCTCCGTGATTTCCTGCTCATCCATCCTGTACTCACCACACCACGTTCAAACCATCCTATTTATCTATTCTCATCTGCCTTGTTAAAGATGAACTACACTTATAATGCTACATGTCAATATAACTTGACTCCTACTAATATAAATTAGGCATATGGTTAGTACTGACAGGGGCAGAAGTCGCAGCTTCAGTCTGTTTTGAGTACTTAATATTTGGATTTTTTGCATTCTTGAAAAGTATAATCACAAAGCTCCCACTGCCTTTTACTGAGGAAGCCACCATTTTGTTCAGATACAGGCAGCGGAGCAGCTGTTGGAGATGTCTGTGTTTCCAAGGAGTTAGCTCTTGAATCAGTGTCTAGAAGATTCAAGAGGCCTGAACAGACAGAACTGCTCTCCTAAAATCACACTTTCAGGAGCTCAGGCCAATTTTGCATTATTGCAGTGTTGCACAAGAGTGAAATTAAGCTGCACCAGCACGATGGAGCGGGGAAGCTCTAACTTACTGAAAAACTCCCCCATGCACCTGTTCCTGTAGAAATTGAGAGAAAACTCTTTGAAAAGATGAAAGATGAATGTGAAGCATGACATCACCAGAATTCTCTCGCTCGCTCCCATAAGCCATGAGAAGGGTACAGTTACCTAGCAACTCCTGCAAGCAGCTCACTTCAGTAGCAAAGCATTGGGGTTTAAGCAGTAGGCACGTACCTGGCTCTAAAGCCCCGTTCTATTTGTCAGCAGAAATCAGTGTGTATAAATCAGAGAGAAAACAGAAGTACTGAAGACCTCCATCAGTCTCCAAAGCTAACCTCACTGCAGGCCCACTGGTAGTGCAGCAAATGGCAGGCTTTTCTGCAACAGAATCAACTCTGAAAGATGAAGTAGGACACGCTGGTGAGACAAACCGATAGAGAAGAGATTTAACTGTTGCTTTTATTGCACTGAGAATTGATATCCGTAAATTTCTCTCTGCAACTCTGTATTGATCCTAACTGTGTGTGTCCAGCTAGTGCACATGCTCTAGGAAGGCAGCTGGTTATAATTTGAAGGCACCAGGAACAGAAGGATTGGTCATTTCCCAAGCTGTGCAGCAGGGTGAGCTTCCCTGAGAGTGACTGTACAGTCACCAACAAAACTGATGCAGAAAAGCCTGAACAAACTGATTATTGGCATTACAAACTGATTATTCCATGCACTTCAAACCTATCACCACCAATCGAGTGAATTGCATCCTTGTTTGTCTTTACATTTGCAAAGACCTGCTTCTCAACTTGCCTTTTCCAGCCCAGTTTGGCATATCCTGAACCATTCACACCATCAGGATTTCACCCCGCTTTGCCACAGAGATTGGGATCTGCAAAGAAATGAGACACACTCTATTTCTGCATGTCTTCATCCAAACTGTCTCACTTATCAGGGAACTGAGAGATAGCCAAAGTCTGCAGCAGATAAGTGGTGAGCTGACAGCAGTCTTTACTGAATAGCTGAGGAAACATGAATTGCAGGAGCGTGGTATAATGCAATATATAATTTTATTTATAATCTCATCAGGCTTTTCATGCCTTCAACTGCTTCCTCTTCCAATTGTCATAGATTTCTGCATGGCATTCACGGCTCCTATTTAATTTTAAGATGATTTTTGTGTGTGTTTTTTTTTTCCTGTTGAAACACTACGATTCTGGGAAGTTCATCTACCACTTAGCTGTCTCATCCTTTTGATGGACAGTTCTCCATCGGTCTTTTCATTAAAAAGGGGTGAGCCATGATCTTTCTTTCTGCAGTACTTTCATCACGGCCTCCTCTCCTGCAAACCTGTCCTCTGTTACAGGATATTGCAGTCTCAACGAAGCCAGGGCCTGTGCTGGGCTGATAAAAACTGATGTAGATAAACTCCCCAGACCAGAGCAGAGTGGCACAGAAGAGGAGCTCTGTGCGTGTCTTGGCCCACCAGGAGCACCCACTGACACCACTTCTTCTTGCCCACTGGTCTCCGAGGATCACTGAGGGCTGATGTACATGGATGTACTCCAGTGTAAAAGGAGGGCTTTTTGTTTTGGACCTGCAGCTATTTACGAGTGTGCTGTATCACTGAAGGCCTTTGGTGAGTGAATCTGAGGTCTTACTAAAAAGGTGAATGATGAGGGTGGTGAGGAACTGGCACAGGCTGCCCCGAGAAGCTGTGGTTGCCCTATCCCTGGAGGTGTCTCTGGTCAGCCCGGATGGGGCTTTGGGCAACCAGGTCTAATGGAGGCTGGTTGGTTGAACTAGATGATCATTAAATGACCCTTCCAACCTAAGCCATTCAATGACTCTGAGCTGAACTATTTATGAACACACTGGCTAACCTTGACCACTCTTCAGTAGCCTTATATATGACAATGCAGAAACTACGATCCAGAAGCAGGTGAACACTCCATCCATTGCCATGTCTCTGACTGCTTGTATTCTCCAATGCTATAGAGGAAGATGATGAAAAACCTAATATTAAACAAATAGGAATTTTGCCTTCTTCTTAACCAAGCACTAGTTATTTGCCTTTTTAGAAAAACAGAATCCAATCAGCTTACAAAAGAGAGAACAGAGAAAGTACCATGCAAACATTTTAATCATTTAAACAAACATCCAATCTGTTTTAAAACCTTGCTAAGTTCTTGGCTCCTGTAGCAGGAGGTTAATTGTACTCTTTATAAGATTGATTTCCTTTTATCTGATTTCAATTTGTTGCCTTTAAGTTAACATCTTGTTTTTGTGTTATGTGAAAGACTAAAGAGGGTCACCTAATCTACCTTCTCCATAAAGCGCATTGGGGAGCTACAACTCTGTCATGTCTTTTTTATCCTTTCTAGATTCAGTGCTGCTAATTGTTCCTGCAAACACTGTTCTTGTGCACTGAGGCACTCTTTCAAGATGCAAGCCTGCTGTGTTTCTTTGCAGTGTGGTGATCAGAGCTGCAGGGCACTGAGGGAAGATGTGCAGAGAGGCTGCGTGCCTTTGAGAGCTGCAGGTTAATACCACTGGGGCATCTGCCTCTTGGGGAGGACTGACTCCACCTGGTGAGGCTGGAAGAAAGTTTGCTTCATGGAAGAGTCCACGGTTGGGTTCCCTTAACAAAGGATAAAGCCGAGATGAATGCTGCAGTCCTGTCTAAAGACATCAGCAATCCTAGAGAGCAAAAGGACCGATTGTTCTTTAGCCTTCACTTTTCTTCTCAACAAACTGTTAGAGGAGAGTAGGAGCTGCTAGAGAGATAACAAGAATAACAAAAATCCCTGCAGTGCAAGATGTGTGGAGGCTCTGAGAGTCGTGGTACCATCTGTGCCTGTCTATTTACAGCCAGAACAACTAACGCCCAACTAATGGTGAAGAGAAGCAAAGCACTATGTCATGGAGACAGCTCTCTAATCTTACATAAAAGCAGCTTTCTGAAAAGCTTGAAGTGTTCAGATGGAGAGAGGAATGGTCACAGCTTACGCTCAAGCAGGTTTATTTATGGAATGGTGTATACCTACCTCTGTTTCAGTCATATCCTTTGAACAATCTCCATCTGATACTCAGGCAAGTTTGTTCAGCATTTTTTCAGCAATACAAAGTGTAACACATATAAAACTCAGCATTACAGACAGATCCATGGTTACAGCAAAAGATCAGTAATGAGGGGAAAAGCAAGTAAACTGTGAAAGCAGTCTGCTTGCTTTGATTCAAAAAAATATTCCTGCATTTGGTACATACAGCTGCTGTGTGAAAAGAATAGGTGTTAGTCAAAAGGAATGAACAAGCTCTTCTGATCATACTTTTCAATGAAAATACATTTTCAAAACAAGTATATTCATCTGAGATTAAACAAACAAACAAAAAAATCATTTTTGAAACACAAGGGAAACACAGAGTTAAATTCGCTGTATTTACCTCAGTGGAGTTGTCCTCTGGGATAATTTTAGACCTTCTGACTCAAATTGACTCCAGCAGGGATAAGAGATTGGCTTGGAAGAAGGTACCATTTTCAGGTGAAACGGCTGCAGGGAATTATCCACCTAATGAAAGGGCAGAGACAAGGTATAATCTGTAACGGGATACACACCCAGGGAGATGGACAATCTAGAGACAGACAGACACAAATGAAGGAAATACAAAACAGAAAGGAAGGAAAAAGCATCTGAACTGAAGTCCCTACACAAAGGAAGAAAGGTTCTATGTCTGGTTAAAAAAAGAAAAAAGTAGATAGGGAAACAAGTTAAGTTTCACTCAAACCTCAGTTTCAGAGGAACTGATACATGTAAAGAAGTCTCTGAATACCAAAGACCTCTTTTTGGATTCACATAAGCATTTAAGCGCTCAGCTTTTGCCATTGGAGATTTTAGATGCTAATGATGAATAAAAATCAATCTAAATAACATCTGATGTGATGAAGAGTATCAGAAGGTCCACTAAATTTGCTGCTGTTCTGTCTCCAGTGACTTCTGTGAAGCAGGGAATTACTTTCTCTGTCCCTTTATGCATTATTCATTTATCTACTTACTTCAGAACAGACATCTAGACCTCTAAACACCCATAAAAGTAAAATAGAAAAAGGAATTAAAAGCACAATACACGAGAAGAACAAACGGTCACAGCCAAAACTAGGTACACTCAATACAGTCACACAGTGAATAGAGGTGTGCCATTACCATCATCTTATCAAACATTCTGGAAGAAAAGATGAGCTTTTCTGTATTATGTTTGCTGAAAGAAACATGCTTCTGCAAGAGGCTGTTCTTTTTTCCTTCTGACTGTCAGGTTTCAAGTGATGAAGGAAAAAATAACTCATTTTGCTGATAAGTTATGAGGTTCCAAAACTGTTCTGTGGCCATCCAAATGGCTGCCTAGAAACCTCTCAGGAGATTTCCACCAGTCTCTGAATACTCTGATATGTACCGCCCAAACCTGCTAATTAGCAAAAGTGCCTCTGAAGATTATACCACCAAATAGATGCAAATTACTCTTCTAATTTCTTTCTTTATTACATTCCTTGTTTCCTTTGATGTTGTAATGCCTTTTTCTCCCCATGACAACAGACTAGCAATGGCTGATAACATCTTGAAAGTAATGGCTAAATTTGAAATTTTATTTTGCAGCTTCTGTCTTTTAGGGACTTTTCTTTGACCATATTTTTGATCTCATCTTCCTCTGCAGCTTTCTCCTGTCTTGCAAGAATTGATTTCCATTTTCTTTGGCATTTAAGTACACTTCACTCTTGTTCTCTGCTTTCCCTTCTCCTTGTTGGTTTTTTTTGTGTTTTTTTTTTTTTTCCTTCAATTTTCATAGAATCATAGAATGGCCTGGGTTGAAAAGGAGCACAGTTATCACCTAGTTTCAACCCTCTGCTGTGTGCAGGTCACCAACCAGCAGACCAGGCTGCCCAGAGCCACATCCAGCCTGGCCTTGAATGCCTCCAGGGATGGGGCATCCACAGCCTGCTTGGGCAACCTGTTCCAGTGCTTCACCACCTCTGTGTGAAAAACTTCCTCCTAACATCTAACCTAAACATCTCCTGTCTGAGTTTAAAACCATTCCCCCTTGTCCTGTCACTATCAACCCATGTAAACCCATGTTTTTCTTTATTACTTTCTTCCCCCCAAATATGGAAAATAGTTATCAGACAAAATTATGCTGTTTCCAAATTTAGTGGAGTTGAAGAAAGGCTGCATGGCTTCACCCTGGATGTTTTGAGAGGATTTTATGTCCATGTCTTCTATCATATTTTAAGTAACAAATTCCCATGGACATCAAAGTTGCCTAAATATCTTCGAGAAACTGTACCTCTGAACAGAATGTCAATATAGCTTGCTTGTATTGCTAAGAAAACATCTGTTTGTTCAAAAAGGTAGTGAAACAGAATGAAATGCCCCAGCTGCTAGTCAAAAACTAGTTTTGCTCAACATGTATAATGTATATATCAATATGTAGGTATGGATATTACACATTATTATCAAAGGAATAAGAATATTTTATGCTCATATATGTCCTAAAGTTGTTGAATAGTGATGTTTTTCACACATTATTTTACAAAGCTATTTTACAAAGCTATGGTCCCAGTAACATAAACACCAGTGTGGGCAGCAGCAGCAGGGAAGTGACCATCCCTCTGTACTCAGCCTCCTTGGTGAGGCTGCACCTCAAGTGCTGTGTTCAGTTTTGGGCTCCTCACTGCAGGAAAGACATTGAAGCCCTAAAGCGTGTCCAGAGAAGGGCAATGAAGCTGAGGGGTCTGGAGCAAAAGTCTTATGGGGAGTGGCTGAGGGAGCTGGGATTGTTCAGTCTGGAGGACTCAGGGGAGACCTGATTGCTCTCTACAGCTGCCTGAAAGGAGGCTGTGCTGAAGTGGAGGTTGGCCTCTGCTCTCAGGTAACAGTGATGGGATGAGAGCGAATGGCCTCAAGCTGTGTGAGGGGAGGTTTAGGTTGGACACTAGGATACACTACTTCTCTGAGACAGTGGTCAGGTGCTGGCACAGCCTGCCCAGGGAGGTGGTGGAGTTACCACCCCTGGAGATGCTCAAGGAATGTTTAGATGTTGTACTGAGAGACAGAGTTCAGAGGGAAATATTGGTGATAGGTGGACAGTTGGAATGGATGATCTTGGAGGTCTTTTCCAACCTTGGTGATTCTCTGATTCTAAGATTCTGTGATTTATTTATTATACGAGCTAAGATGTCCATAACTATTCAACTGTCTACTTTTTATATATCTGTGTTCTTGGCAGGAATACATCTGGCATCCAGCAAATATTCCTGCTTTTGGCACTTCTTGGTTGTCTCTCCTTTCGCAAGCCAGAGATAAGGATAGTAAGTGCATGAGAAGATTCATATTTTTCTTTTGTTAATGTTCAAAATTAAGCACAAGATGAAGCACTGTGGCATAGCTACCCAGATTCTACATGGGTGTGTGATTGGTGGAACTGAATGTCCTGTGTGGGCTAGTGTTGAAGAACATTTCAAATAAAGACATTCAAATTGTGCAATAATTTTTCTGTGGAAGAGGATGCAAAGACATTCCTTTGTCTAATGGGCCACTATATATCAAGTGTATGTTATAAATTTAGTAACACCAACAGAGGTTGCAGCATATTGCCAAAAATATTCCAAATACTATTACAGTGGAGAGAGAAAATAAAAGCAGAACATAATCTGATGGCAAAACGAGATATTGTCGTATCCATCCAATTCAACAATTCAATCACTGAATAAAACCAAAATAATTTGTGACATGTACCCTGAATATTTGTTTATATATACCACAGAAGACGTCACAGCATAAAGAGAGATGCTCATTGCAAGAATCAACATAAAAAGCAGTAGCTGAACTTCAGAAAATGATCAGGAAATTGTAAAAGAGATGCATTCAGCGTTTAGCAAGTCTCCTTACATTTTGAGGGAGTATTGCCATGAACATGCAGTATGAAATGACAGAACAGAGCAGAGGGCAGACAGACACCTCCAGACAGTAGGTGACTGAGAGTCCCAGGAAAGCTATGAGAATCAATGTTGTCCTTGGGTGGCATGGCTGGAGACAGGAGAGAACATCTTGACACAGAAGATGTACACTTGGTAGCAGTGTGACCACCCAACAGTAATGACCTCCTTTTGGAAATCTTCTCCAAGTCAAACTTGGAGTCCTTTAAGTCATCTGCTGTAACAAACTGCCAATCTGTTTGTGAGCAGAGACTGAGAACTTGCACTCAGCCCTGGTTCTGGATCAGAAGGGCAATATCTTAACATGATTCTCCTCACAGACAAAGCATGCTGTGTAATTATTGGTGTTTGTTTTTTCCCTTGTTCGTTTGGTTTTTCAAAATTAAGGTCCACCTACAGTGAACACAACAGGCCATCTTTGATTTCCCTGTCCTTTCATATTCTGTCTTTAACCAGAATCAGTGTAATTTTAGACTGGCTTCCTCAGTTTTGTTGTTTGCGTTGTTTTAGATCTATTGTTTTGTAACATCTTACCACATATGTTTCCAACTTACTATACATTAATAGAAAGTTTTCCTTGCTGTGTCCTGTGCAGTTACTGTAACTGCTCAAGGTTGAATGACTGGTGGTACTAATGGAAATTTCATAGAACAGTATAAATACACAACAAGAGACTCACCATGTAGGAAAACTCCAGATGTGCCCATCAAAAATGCACAAATACAGGCATATTTTGAATTAGATTACTTCTTTGTTTCTGGATCTGACAACACAAAGGTATGCCCAATAGCAGAACTGAATTTGTGCTTATTATAGATACTGTTTCCTATCCTGAAGAAAGGGACTACAGTTTAGGAGTGCATCTGTTGTGCTTCAACCCAGCAGCAGCTCAGCACCATCCAGCTGCTTGTTCACTCCCCCTGGGTGAGGTGGGGGAGATAATCAGAAAGGTAGAAGTGCAAATCTCATGAGTTGAGATAAAGAAAGTTTACTAGATAAAGCTGGAGGTGCCATGCAAACAAAGCAAAACAGGAAAATCATTCACTGCTTCCCATCAGCAGGTAGATACTCAGCCATTTCCAAGAAAGCAGGGTCTATCAAGCTTTTCTTGGGAAGACAAATACTATCAGTCCAAATGTTCCCTTACTTCTCAGCTGTATTGTTCAGCAGGGCACTGTATGGTACAGGATATCCCTTTGGCTATTTTGGGTTAGCTATCCTGGTTCTGCTCCCCTACAACATCTTGTGCACCCTGAGCCCCTTGCAGGCAGGGCAGCATGAGAAGCAGAAAAGTCTTCAGCTCTGTGCACGCAACAACTGAAATATTGATGTATTATCAACACTGTTTTCATCAAAAATATAAAACTCAGCATTATATGAGCCTTTATGAATAAAATTAACTATCCCAAAGGCCTTAAAGATCATCAAGTTGAAATGCAACCTAACCATTACTACCCTAGCCCTAACATCCTTCCGCTAAATCATGTCCCTGAACACCACATCTAAATGGTTTTTAAACACATCCAGGGATGGTGACTCAACCACCTCCCCAGGGAGCCTATTCCAGTGCTTAACAACCCTTTCTGTAAAGAAATTTTTCCTGATATCCAACCTAAACTTACCCTGGAGCAACTTGAGGCCATCTCCCCTCATCCTGTCACCTGTCACCAGTAAGAAGAGACCAACCCCACTCTCTCTGCAATCACCTGTGACTTGATGTCTCTGTGTGTACCCTTAACAATCCAATATTGTAGTGCCCTCAGTGACTCAATACTCTTATTTCTTGAGAAGGAAAGGAAGATCTCAAGCATCAAGCCAAACTTCAAACAAAAGCCATTCAGGGCAAATCAGCATGTCAGCTGATGTAGGTAACTCTAAGCCCTTTATCAGCAAGTCATGTTCTGTAAACATGTTCATCTGCCATACTAAAGTGGGGGTTTAATATCCTTGAATTCCACGTGAAATTAAAGAACAATAACAACAAACAACAAAAACACAACAAATGGCAATCATATGAAAAAGGATAAGCTATAGAAACATTGAAATTCTATGAGGCTCCTAAACCAGAATTTAGGGTTTACTTCTAAGTTCATGTACCTTGGCAATGTTTTGTTTTAACCCTCTTTCCACTACGAAACTCCCCTAACTTCAGCAGAAGTTCTGAGCCATCAACAGGAAAATAACTGCTCTCTGCAGGCACCTCTCCTTCCTGTGGGGACAAGGCAAGCTCTTCTAACCATAAGCCTTCATCTCCACCAAAGCCCATTTCTGGCCCTGTTTTGCTTTTGTGAAGCCCACTGCCCTGCATGGTGGGAGCACCATGCCCTGTGGATCCTCCTCGTGCTCCATGCCAACCCATGGCAAGGGCAGGCAGGTCTAAGCTGTGACTAGTGGCTCAGCAAACAGAAAGCTGAGCTGCAGAGTATCAGGCACACAGCAGGAGACCACAAGTACTTAAACAATCCTTGGAAATTAGCTAGCAGGTCTTTCCTTTTCAGCAGGGAGAGAATTATACACTATTATCTTCCTCCTCTTGTGTTCACCAGTGCCATGCCTGATTTATGCTGGGACAAGTGGAGAAGACCTAGTCCAAATATATATAGTAACTGGCAACTGTGTGAGCTGGTTTACTTCTCATCTCCTCAGCCCCCTCAGCTTTCCTCAGCTTTCTTTCAGCATAATTCCTTTTATGATTCCTTTTTCTTAAAGGAAGGAAACAGCCCTAGTTGCAGCTAGGGCCTGCTGAATGTCTGCAAGTCTCAGGCCACCAACGATGGCATTTCTTGATGGGCAAAGATAAAAGGAGGCTCTTCAGCTCCCCTGCTCTTTCCACAGATTTTTTCCATCTGACCCCTCTGCAGCAGCAAAGCAATCAAAGAAAATGAAGCGATAGGAACTAATTTAGATTGTGAGAGTTGATTAGGAAATTTAGGAGCGAGAAATAATTTGACAGGGGGAACAATCTGATTGGATTTAAAATTCTGTACCATAATGGGCTGTGTGGGGGTTGTAATTACTCCTGAATAGTGGTGATGTAGCCAAGCAAGGAGAAAAAGGTGTTCATGCTTTGCATGTCTCCTGTGAGGTACTGAAAGAGAAGTCTCTGGCTGCTGACAGGCAGCCCATGCATGCTGCAAGTCATGGCTACTTTGACAAGGAGCTCCTCTTGCAGATAGGAGGCAGCACACATCTTGCTGACCATGTACCACAACTGCACCTTCGCATTTACCACCCATTTTTAGAAACTTTCAGCAAATATTGACTAAGTGCCACAGTGCTCCTGATGTCTTTACTTCTGTCTAAGAACTCAATAGACGTAGAAAGCAAGCTTGCCTTCCTTATCAGCTCAAAATATTGTTCCTAGAAGAAAACCCCTGTCTGCACTAACCCCAGGTTCCCAAATGTAATGAAGTAAAGTAGTTCACAATGACCACTTTTTTTTGAAGTTCATTATCTTCTTTCCCAGGGCAGAGGATTGATGAAAGAAAGAAAAGGTTCAGATATTTTCTGGATTCTTCCCTGGGACAAGTTATAACTTTAATTAAAAATGCTGCTTGGGAAGATGGCTGAAGTACAAAGGCTCTACTGGTACCCCAAAAAGAAAAACCATTCTCTTCAAGAGAGAGCTGTGCATGTGTGGTTTTTATGTTGTTTTCTCAGATTTTATTTGGAACTGTAAACTGGAATTATGTTTATTTATTTTAAGGAGAAATTCAGGATTGAATTTCCCATTCAGAAAAAAAAACTTGCTGAAAAAAATCCCAGTGGTTTCAATCACTGTGTGCCAGCCATAGTGGTATCCCTGGTACTGGCAGGAAGCTGTACTGATCCACATCACATCACATCCACATTACATCACCAATTTGCTCTACATACACAGCCTGCTCCTGCTCTGCAGCAGTTGCAGCTGCAATGAAGGCATCGTACACTCTCAAGTGTCTTTTTGAGACAGGTTGGCCCCTGCAAAGAAAGCAACATCAGGCTCTGGGAGTAACCTGCAAGTCTGGGAGATTGTACCTGTGCTGAAAGGAGCACCTGGTGATCTAATTTCAGTGTAACCCCCCATTCAAACCATCTACGATATATATACAGTATAATTATTATTATTTATTTTTTGTTGGGGCTAATTTTCTTCACTTACAAATGTGATATTTCTGGGTAGTACAAGCATCTGTCTGGGAATGGAGAACAGCTAGCACAATTCTGCTTACTTTGAGTGCCAGTTCAATGGAATCAAGCAGCAAAGTCATCTAAAAGACCTCTGAAGAGCAGACAAGGCAACAACAGCTATGTATTTTGTCTTTCAAGAATGTCAAATGCATTTCAGATTTCTTAGTCTCCCTAAACATTTCTGGTGATTTCTGTCCTAAATCTGCTCTGCTGCTGTCATCTGTTTCTCTATAGCTAAGGCCAACAGTCACAACTCCCCTCTGCTGGCACACAGTAACCTGGTAACACAGGTAACCTGTCAGGTCATTCTGGACGTGACACTGATTCCTGTCTTGCTTCTATCTGTTTATCTATCTTATAAAGTTTGGTACCTGTGGGCAGTAGTGATTAGGTTTGTGATAAGCATGCTTACTGCATTTTTCTTTGTTTTTTTCCCTAGAACTATGTGTATCAGTGACACAAGTGTGTCACTACCTGTGAATCCCTTCGCTTCATGAGGAGATGGCTGCATTCACCAGCTCTACCACCCTCCCACCTCCTGATTCCACATCCCACAGAACACTGCTATCACAGAAGGTACCAAAGTGGCTTCTCAAGTAATCTGGTTAAGCCAGTCCAGTGAAGATTTAAAAAACAGGGCTTACATAAAAGGTTGAGCTCACATCTCTAGTCATAAAGCATTGTATTGTGCAGTATTGGACTGTATTCAAATACTTGGTGTGGCAGGTGGGCTATAAATGTTTAAACAGATGGATTTTGACAAGCTCAGGAGTTTCATTCCATTCAGTTCACTATACTAAACATGATACATGAACAAAATACATGACTTACAACCAAATCCAGGAGATATGGGTACCATCATGGATGCTTGTCTCCCTCAGTGGTGATGAGGCCTCCAGAACAGGTTTTCTTTTGAAGACCATGAGAGCAGGTGCATGGCAGATACCTCTACAGAAGAAATAATGACATTAAGACTGGTTAATTCCTAACATGAGCATTTATGTTATGCACTATTATTCAAATTATAATTATTTATATATAAATATATAAATATATATAGAGAGATCTGCTCTATCAGGATGTCTTATAAAAGCTGACTTAGCCTTCTTTCAGATACTGGCACTGACTACTGCTTAATTTGGCCATTATTAGCAGCTTAGTGAGGAGTCACTCAGGTGGCAGCAGATTATCCAACACTCAGTGTTTAAATAATTACAAAATTACAAGTTCTTTACTGCAAATACAGAAGGCTCCACAGATTAAAAAGATCAGAAATGGAGGAAATTTCAATTCAGCAAAATGTGACCTTCCAGACACATAATTTATCTTGCTAAATACTCAACTCAGTATTTCCACTTCATTTTCTGTGGGTTTTTTAGCACTGCTTAAAAAAATTATGGCTACTCATCTCTGAGGTATCAGGTCAACCACAAGGAAATCTAAGCTAACAGAATCTTCTATACTCCATCACGGAAAACTATTCCAGTGAAATATCATTCCTTCCTCTTCTGTAAGTCAGTAACAACCAAATACAACACATTCTGTGACCTCTTTTCAAAACACTGACAGAATTCAAGCTACTTCCTTGTGACAACAAAGAATAAAATTAGGTAAATGAGCTCAGGCTGCAGAAGTTGTGAAGCTTTTCCTTGCCTAGGATTACTCAGTTAATAAATGCTGGACTGGATAAATTAGACATAGGAAATCAGTACAAGCTGAGTGAAATCTGGGTTCAGATTCTTATGTTACCTCATTCACCCTCCAGAGTTCAGCTCCCAAAAGCTCAGCTGGGAAAGGGACTGACTAGCTGAACTGTGATGAGGTAACACAAAAAGCTCTGCTCATGACAAACCCTCTGCATGTTATAGAGAGCTTTGATTTGTCGTGGGGCACAGATGGTGCTGCAAAATTGTAGGAATACAGTCTGGAAAAAATTCAGCACTGGAGGGTCAAGTTCTTTTCTTGAGATATGAATTCAATTTTTGTCATAAACCCGTTGCAGAGGTAGAGCTGTGGGCTATCAATAATAGATCACATAGCTTGAGTTGCAGTTTGAATTTTTGGGAAGAAAGTTACGATCAGAGAGAAAATACTTGTTATTTCCTGGGAGCAAATGTATCCATGTGTCCGTAATGACTGCTGACAAAGATGTTCTTCCTCCTCCCAGTCAGACACCCGCTGCCTTCTGAGAGATACAGGTATGCAAGGCCCCTTCACACCTTCCCATCGGGTTACAACCCTTGAACAAAACTTCATGTCACAACACATAACAGAAGTGGAATAAATATCGCATGACAAAATGTTCAAATGACACATCTGAGTGACTGTAATAGCAGTGTCATCTTCTTTAACCTTTTAAACCCAGGATGTTTCAAACCATACACCGAAAAATAGTACTTCCAGTTCTGCTATACCAGTGCAGCGCTTGCCTTTCACCTTCTGCGTTGTTGAGGTAAAAGCAATTAAGATGAATCTGTTTTGGTTTGTCTGTGGAAGAACAACATGAGCCTTATGTTAAGTATGCAGAAAATATCCATTTTGCTTAATGTTTTGTTAAATATTTAGATCCAGAAGAAATAGGACAGCTTCAATCATGTTTCTGAATGACCTGGGCACCACTGCAGCCTCCACTGGGATAACAGCTCAGTTGCTAGATACATAATTCATTTTTTTATCCTGCCCAGTCCCTGATGTGTGCAAAGGTTAAAAAAGATATAATTAGTCTGCTCTGTTCCCACCTCCGGCCCACACAAACCCTGTCTTTTATTCAACCTGTCATCGTTAGCAGTATTATCCAGGTCTCCTGAAAAGAGACAGCAATGAAAAAAATTATGGTAATTTAATTCAGAATGATCTTTCCTTTGTAGCTTGCACATTACTTTTGAGATACATCTATTAATAACCTGTAGGAATCAGCTTCTATTTACGTAGCACTTTTCTTCCCGAAGGGTCTGTAAGCACTTTGCTAACCTTAGGGATCATTTCATTCTTTCCTGACAGATAAAGCTCAGTTTCATCTTTATGGCAAACTTCAGGCAAAAGATAAGGACAGAAGATTAGTGAGCCAACTCAGTTCTGCAGAGCACCACAGCTCCCACAGTGGACAGCTGTGATCTGGCAGGAGGTGCCCTGCTCCACACAGGTGTTGTTACCCCAGTGCCCGAGTCTCATTTTGTCCTTCTCTCACTGCCAATCCCCCCTTGATGGCACAGAATGAGCTCCAGGATCCAAGGAAGTCCTGCCATTCCTTTGTGGTGATGTTCCCAGTTACCACTCCATCAATTGTAGACCACATTTTGACCAACATCTAGGGTGTTGAAGGAATAATTCGTTCAATTTAACTAAAGTACTAGAAAACTCTGGGAATGCTGGGGAGATAAATCCTGCATGACTGTTACTGTTATTCCTCTGGATTATTTGGACTACAGGGGCACCCACAGATGCCACCAAGATGAGTTGCCATGCTGCTAGGTGCCGTAGCAGTATCCAGGAAGTTGTATCTCAGTGGCATCCAGGGAAAGGACAAGAAGCACAAATTGAAGTACAGGAAATTGCACTTAAACATGTAGGTCACTCTGAAAGTAATGCCTCCTTTTTATTTCCATGGAAACTACAACGGGTACAAAGAGCACAATAACACTCTTTGGTAGAGCGAATTCTCAGCTATGAAACACTATTCTTCAACATGGTCACCACTATTAGCTATGCATTTTCACCAGTGATGAACTAGAATCTTCATGCTGCACTCCTGAAAATCTGTGCCAGTTGTGTGATGGCTGTCCGGAACATAGTTTGTCTTTCATGTCATTGTCACCACAACTGAAACACACCACCCTCTGCCCCACTGTGCTTATATCCCACTGCTTGGTCTCCATAAATATTCATCAAGTGTCAAGGAATGTCACTGAGTGCCATTTTTTCTGCATGGAGGAATTAAATTCCAACACCTTTGTTTCAAACAATCTTCCATGTCAGACACCATTTTGTCAGACTGCTTATATGTGTACGTGTATGTGTATGTGTATGTGTATGTGTATGTGTATGTGTATGTGCATGTGTATGTATGTAAAATGTATGTATACAGTTGGACTGGATGATCTTAGAGGCCTTTTCCAACCTTGGTGATTCTATGATTCTGTATGGGGTCATCCTACCTCAAATATAGCCTGTCAACTCTTTTAACTGTTCAGTAGACTACCTATATACGAGATCACAGACAGAATTACCATCCATAAGCTTTTCTAGTGCCTTTTGTAACTTTTTTGCAGTGAGCTGAATGGATCCGGATGCAGCAATGCTGCAGGTATACCCTTCAGACAATGATCTTGTTCAATACTCAGTTATTGTTCATTGAATGGTGATAACTCATATAGGACTCAGGAGTAAATAACTTTCTGTGAAAAAAATACTTTTTGAATTCATTTGACTTCAAAAACAATTTCTAATAGCTGAAAAAAAAAAAAAAAAGACCCGAAAAATTACTGCAGAAATCATGGAGTAAACCATTATTGCTATGGCCATATTGCAATCAAGTGTATGGTCTCAAGACTCCCCAGTCCCACATGTCTTAATCAGAAGCAACTCTGTCAAAATCAACAGGATTATGTTGATGGAAATACTGCATTCAGAAGAAAACCTGACCTTTGGAATGAATTACTTAGCATTCACTTTCATATCTCTTTGCAATCTTAACACACTGGAAACAGTACATTAAAAGAGCTAGAATAATCTGACCATAACAGAGTGACCAAGAGTGAAACCTCTATAAAAGATCTTTCATGCAGCACTAATAGTCAGTGTGGTGTCAGGTTGATGATGATGATGATGATGATGAGCTTGAGGTCTATAAAGTCGGCACAAAACATAGCTTGGTAAAGATAAATCATTTTGTCAAAAATTGTCACTTCCCAAGTTTGAATTCAATGACATAAACCTTTCACTCTTTTAGGGTTTTTTTTTTGTGATCCTGTAGAAATGCTTAATAAAATACAACTACTTTTGATGTTACTGCTTGATACTGGCTTTTGTGTACATTATCTTCTGTATTTTGCATTAAATAATACAGATAATACATAACAGAATATTGCAGATATGTGGCATCTGAAACATTAATTTTATGGAAAGTCTTAGCAAAATTAATCAAGATAATACAGTTGGCAGAATGTAGCTTTTGTTATTGACGCACTAATAGTAAGCTCACTCTTTAAAATCCATGCCATGATAGCTTGGAAACAAATGTCTTCAGAATGTTAACATCCTGAAGAATTTTACTTTTCTACCTCAGAATGACTGCATATTCATTTAGTTAGTGTCAGAACTGTCTGTGGAAGAGGCCTCGGTCCAAACCAGTTCTGATTACAGTAAATAAGAATTTCCACAAAAGAAGCACTGCCTTGAAACTATTTTTGAATGTTGCCTTTGAAGATTCCATTTGCAAGCATACCTCAAACTCCTCTTTGTTGTTAGCAGTCATACAAGAAATCCCAGTTCTCCTCTCATGTCAAATTTCTTTCCAGTACAAAGGACTGTCACAGGGCCTTGTGTCAGTTAAACCTCAGATTTGAGTTACACGAGTAATTTTGCCTAAATTACATCATTTGTTTTTTATCATTGGGAAAATCTCCATAACATATCCTATAAATCTTTGATACTAAAGACACTATTTTGAAGAATAAAATAATGGTAAATTATTAACCACATTCATCTTCGCTGATCAGCAAAGCCTTAATAAGTCCTGTTTATCAAACTCATTTTTGTTCCTTACGTGTGAACTCGAGGGGATAAAATTATGGAACAAAAATAACATTAGTGTTTGCAAAGTCTCTAGAGAAAACCAGCTATTGGTGTATGTGACAACAGGGAGAACAGCTGGAGAGCCTAATCCCCACCGCCTCCAACCACGCAAAGCCCCACAGTTTTGGCAGACCGACTTAAGATTTACGATGCTCCTCACTTCTCCCTAATTTTGTCACTATATCACTATATTTGTCACTAATTTTGTCGGTGGTTTTCTCTGAAGACACAAACATATATATTTATTTAATTTCTGGTTTACTTGTGACTCTAAGCTCTGCATTTTCTTTTATGCAATTATCAGTTTAACGAGCAACTACCTTCACTCAACAGTTCTGCAGCTTCTTTATTATCACTGTCAACAAACCAAATCTCGCTGTATGTGAGAAGCAGAGAGAAAAGAAGTGCGATGAAAAAGTCCCCAAGCTGAAACTGTGCTTGTTGTCTCATGCAACCAGCTCTCCAGCATTTCCATGTAAGTAGAGTTGCTGGCAGAAAGCGAAAATAAATCGTACTGGTCATTTTACATGCTGAGAAACATCTAAGCTGAAGCCCCAGTTACACTGTTTTGGAATTGGTAGTTACAAACCATAGAAAAGGAGGACTGGCAACATCGGTCCAGATAGCGCAGGTAAAAATACCATCCTGTCTGAGAAACTTTCTGTGACCTCTAAGTATGAGAATCAAGGACGAGCCTTCTGAGCAAGGATTGGGTATTGCCCTGTTACAGATCAAGACAGAAAACTGAAATGGAAGTCCAAGATTAATGATGTTTTCTTGAAAAGTTGTATGATTGTATTTAGTATGTGATATGGCACTGTACATTAAACAAGGATCTGCCATTTATTTGGAGGAGCCTCACAACGAGCCGTGATCAGTGGATGGGCAGGGCATCGTGTATCAGCAGATACCAGAGTCAAGAGGAACAAATCCAATTCAAACAGCAAAAGCATGGAAAAAAAGCTAAAGGGAAGAAAATTGAAGAATTTCTAAATTTGGAATTTCTATAACAGGATGTTCAGGTAATCTTGCAGATTTCTAAGCAAGCTGCTTCTTTGCACAGAAAGAAATATGCTCCTTTTTCCCCTGGCATTGTGCATGTATATATTCAGAGAATCTGGGAAAGCAGATTCTGATCTAATCTGTTATTTGCAGATGGTATTGATCTAGCACAAGAAGGAAAATTTAGCCAATGAGTATTTTATGGCAGGAATGAAAACTAATTCAATATTCACATACACAGGCAATACAGTACAATAGAAATTATATTCTCATATGGCGTTAGGCTACTTAAAATATTACAATCTCTCTATTAGATTGTCCTCTTTATTCTAATGGTACACTGGTGTCAGCTTCCCTGACTATCATTGAACATGAAAATCCCATAGAGACTAATTAAATTTTCCTGACTTGTCAAAAGAATACAGGGGATTATTTTTAATACCTATTTTTACCTCTGTGGTTTTATCTAACCACAATGGATAAGATGTGACCAAAGACACAACCGTACCTATGTCACCTTCTCACAACCAAGTCTTTCTCTAGGATTTGGGAAGTATATACCAGAGCCTGGAAACCAGGAGACCACAGCCTTTCTACTGGAGGTTTATCAACTGCAACAGGATAACTCTGGATATCCATAGCATATGGGTATAGGAGTGAAGAGAAAGAGTAACTTCATTCATAGCTAGAACTCAAGAAGCCTCCATATCTCGTTTTGACAGACAACCACATGCCAATCTTTCTGAGAAGATAAAAGGCAATTGACATCTCTATGTACTCCACATTGATGTAAAAAAAAGGGCCAAGGAGAAATGCAATGATGTGGGTAATGGATTTACATTTATGAGTAACAGCAAAAATTGACATGAGAGCGTGATCAAGAAATCCCACTGCCTAACTTAAGACATGCATCTTAGGGCTGTGTCCAGGCCTGGGGCCCCCAGCATAAGACGATGCAGAGCTCTTGGAGCAGGTCCAGAGGAGCACTAAGATGATCAGAGGGCTGGAGCATCTCTCTTGTGAAGAAGGGTTGAGGGAACTGGGCTTGTTGAGCTTGGAGAAGAGAAGGCTCCGGGGAGACCTCATTGTGGCCTTCCAGTACTTGAAGGGAGAGTATAAACAGGAGGGAGAACAAGGGTTGTGAGGGCTGTTTACAAAACAGCCTGTTTACAAGGGTGGATAGTGATAGGAAAAGGGGAAAGGGTTTTAAACTGAGACAGGAGATGTTTAGATTAGATATTAGATGTTTAGATTAGATATCATTTTTCACACAGAGGTGGTGAGGCACTGGAACAGGTTGCCCAAGGAGGCTGTGGATGCCCCATCCCTGGAGGCACTCAAGACCAGGCTGGATGTGGCTCTGGGCAGCCTGGTCTGGTAGCTAGCAACCCAGCCCATGGCACAGGGGTTGAAATCAGATGATTTTTGAGGTCTTTTTCAACCCAGCCCATTCTATGATTTCTTTGTATAGTAAAAAATCCAGTCAGGCCTTAAAACTTGGTTATTTCACTGAAGAGCCAAGCAGACAACTTCAGGGGCTATAATCTCTCCTTGCTCCATAATTATTACTTCACAGAATGAGTAGGTAATGCTGACTGAAAATCAATCTGCTAGAGAGCAAGCTGTTAGTACAGGGTGTGTTTTCTACATATCTCCTGCTTCAGAGTATTAAGAACATTAGCATGGAAATAGAAAATTTTCTTTCTGAAAAGCCCCTGTTTGCTGCTTGTTCCATATATCAAGTTTAAGGACTCAAATCTGCATTTGTTCTTACTTGTATAGCCCCTCCATTAAGGACTTGGTCCTTGATATCATGCATAATGTCATTTAAGAGAGCAGAGGTCCCGCTGAAAGCAATCAGTGGCCTTGTTCACATCCTGGCTTTGCTGGATTAAGTCAAAATGTGCATTGGAAGTTAGAAATTAAATCTCTGACTCCATCGATTTTCATAGAGTTTAGCAGAGGTATAACAGAAATGCCTGAATGCTATTCTTGGGTTTTGAGCTCCTAATTAAAGCTTAGACGATTGTTCCATACTGATCGCAGCCATTACTAGGAAAACAAGTTAAGTGTGAAGAAGAGTTCCCCAGAAATGAAGAACGTTTTTTTTTTCAAACCCAAATGCTACCTATCCCAGAAATGGCTGACATTTTTTTCAGCCTGCCAGCTAAAACTCAAACTGCCTGCTGTTTACAAATCGTGGCGATGATTGACTGATCAGGGGATAGGAAACATTACCACCTTCTCTTTGACATCTCAAGACTGCTACCCAATTCAAGCCATCACGTTCACTGTGTGTGCTTGGATGACTCAGCCTTACACCCTGGCATTGGCTCTTCCAGAAAGAGTTAATGTGGTTCTGCTGACTCACGGAGGCAGATGAATCTCTTTTCCCAGTTTGATAGACAGGAAAATTGTCTCATAGGCAAGAGATCCCGAACAAGGGCACGCACGTGACCAGTATGCACATCACTGCAAGTGGTACCCAAGTGCTGCTTGAGAACACAAGGGTCTCCAACTGAGCACACCAACAGCCAGAGCAGCTCTGGGAGTTCAAAGCTAAGGTGTGGATGCACAACGTGGAAGCAAGGAGGAGTTTAATTTTCACTGCTAATTTTATTGATGATGTTGATACTGTCATGCTTTAAATGTCACTGATCTGTTTCATGCAGCATCTCCAAAGTATTATAATTCCTCTCAGCTTGCTTTGCCAAAGATCCCAGCCAAAGCCTGTGCATATTCTGTATTCTAATTTCTTCTCTGTCTAGAGCACCTGGAACTGTCTCAAGTTCATTTATTTGGGCACATCATTTTGAGTTTTCCACAGTTATCTTCCACTCTCCATCTGCAAACTCCTTGTTCTCACTCTCAAAGCCCTTTGCAATTCAATCATGCTTCATGCCACTCCGGTTGTTTCTTACCCTTCCAGGGGACGCACCCTTGCTTTGTCAATTGCAGCCTTCATTGTTGCTTCTCTAGCTTTATTCTACACTTCCCCATACATCTGAGGACAAAAATCAACAGTGAAAACAGTAAAGTTGCAACTGTAGGTAACCCGCTAATAACAGAAAGGCAGAGAACGGTCAGGGCTGGACGACCAGGGCTGGTCGACTCAGGAGCTGCACACAGGATCTGCATCACAACCCCTCATTTGGCCTCTCCTTCTCCTCAACTTGCTTTCTGGAAAAGTTCTTTGGAATACAGGCTGTCACTGACAGCATTTTGCATTTGTGCGTCTCTGTGCAATGTCGCAAAGTAACTCCTTAATTAACCTGTGAACTACCTTTTTCCCTCTCCTATACAAAAGGATCACTGTCCAAGTGTCTCACAACCTCACAGTCAGCATGATTTTATATTTTGTAGCTGTGCTTTAAAGGCACAGAGAAATTGAGACAACACTGGAACCCTACAGGAGTGCCGAACCCACACCTCCTTAGTACAGAACAACACCAGATTTCTGTGCCTGTCTCCTTTTCCAGTACAGAGATAAATAACAGTAAACACAAGCCCTAGGGCCATATTCAGAAATGGCTGGGAAACACTCTAAGTATTTGCAGAACCAAATGCTTTCTGGGGAGCTATTTTTCAGTGTGTTGTTACAGTAAATGTTTAGATTTTCCAAAGACAACCTCATAAAACGGTCATTAAGCAGTGCTATTTTATGTACAAATATTTTGCAGAACAATTTAATATGTAATCACACAAAACGTTCTCACATGCCTAGTACCTTCACAAGCATCAGCATTAACTACCACTTTAGTTAGTATCTCTTTTCCTTCAAGAATAGCTGTGACAAGCCAGGGGTTGCTTGTCAGATATTCAGAGCGTAGAATCATAGAATGGCCTGGGTTGAAAAGGAGCACAATGCTCATCCAGTTCCAACCCCCTGCTGTGTGCAGGTCACCAACCAGCAGACCAGGCTGCCCAGAGCCACATCCAGCCTGGCCTTGAGTGCCTCCAGGGATGGGGCATCCACAGCCTCCTTGGGCAACCTGTTCCAGTGCCTCACCACCTCTGTGAAGCACCTGAATTATCTCCATTAACAGAGGGGAGGGAGGGATTTGTGCTTCATGAACACACAAAACTTGACATGGTCATAACTACCCTGCCATGGCCTTCAGCAACCTGGCAGAAAGCAGTCCCAAATCCTGCAATATGCACACTGTGCCTGCAGAGACCATTTAATTTGGATTCATTACCTTCACGATTATAGCAGATCATACATTTGCCAGTTTCATCCCAAACTCCAGCACAAAGACAGATTTACTGGTGAAATAAATACAAGACCAGATAGTACTTATAAGTACAAACTGTACTACAGTCAGGCTTCACCAGTAAAATTTAAAATGTGTGGTAGTTACAAGACAAAATAAATACAGTCCAGTATAGTTCAGCTGAGCCTTCCCTAAACTTTAGAAGTTCAGATGTGAGAAAGTCTCCTGTGAATGAGGGCTTTCAGCCTCCAAGTGGGAACAAGGCATGAACAGGAGTCTAGACTTCATAGAACACTGCTTCAGGTCAAAACCTGTTGTAAAAATACTGCATTGTACAACTGAAATAAATGAAAGTACAGCATCTGTAACTCCACAGGCAGACTAGATCTAACCAACCTAACTTTTGTGATTACCTATAACCAATCTGGTCTGGTGCTAAGATCACCTTCACCCGTGGAAGTGCAAAGCTTGTTCTTTGGACCACATCTATTCCTACAGATTTCTTTCTGATTTAACTCTGTATAAAAGCCTCAACCTATATACAGCATGACAGAAGGAAAAAAAAAAGCTTTGGAAGTCTATTAATACATTCCCTTCAGCAATCTCTGCATATATTTCACACCTAGATTTGAAGCAGCCTTTTCAGTCTGTGCTAGCACAACAGTCTACCAGAGCCTGGATATGAGCTCTGAAGTACTCCTGAAAGCTTAGAGAGGCCTCATCCCGCAGCCCCACTGTCTTACTGATACCACTTCATGTTCTGAACAATTTTTTCCTGATTTCTAGCAAATGTATTTGCAGCTGGATTAGACCTTGCAGTCACTGCCATGGCTAAGTGGATAACTCTCCATCGTGGATTTGGATTTCTGATGGCAGTTGCTTTCTTTCAGTTCACACATCATCAGCTGTGTGGTTTGCACGGAGCCCCACTAGAGCCCATTTCCACGTATGCTGGCTGAACACCCCTGGTCAGGCCCTCGCTGCTGACACACCGCACTCCCTCTTATGCTGGTGCAGGAGTGTGAGGGTTATCTGAAAAAAGGGCTAAAGATGGAGCTGAAAATGCTTACCATGCTTTGATGAAACATGGCATGTATTCCGAAAGTATGCAGAAACAGCACCTCCTGGGACAGCTGTGTTTGCACAACTGAGGGAGTGGTGTGGAAGTTTTATCTGCTGCACATAGACATGAGTTTCAGATGGTGAGCATTTCATACAATGAGCATTGCTGAGACTGTGCGTGCTGGCTCCTCTGGAGGGATTATGCCCTTGTTCTCAGCCTGCTTGCCAACTGGCTGCTCCCCCTGTCTGGGCTTCTGATAGCCAAGTAAAGAGTGCTACGGAACGTTGGCTTGTTTCATGCAGTGCACAATCTCTGTTTTCTGCAGATAAATCTGACATGATGCAGCAATAACAAGACACTTGTTCATCCAGCTTCTATGATGAGTTTCAGCAGCCTCGTTGCAAATAACTTCTGACAAATCCACAAGAATGCCAAGCGAGCAGAAAATAAATGAAGGTTCCAATACCATCCCCACCAAAAAAAGTAACAAGCAGTAAGGAAACGTTCCTTAGCTCCTTGCTCAACAAGCAAGCTATGTTTTCTCAACCATTGTGCAACGAGTATATCCCACAACCATCATAAGATCAGCTCACTCACATTACTCTGAGGTTCTCCCCCCACATTCACTACAAAACTGTTAGCTAACCAAGCCTCCTAAATTATATCACAGAAACATTTTTGCTCTGCTTGGCATCTCTTAGAACAACCTCCAGGATGACTGGATCCTACTTTCACAGAACTGAAACTGCTCTTTTCTGAGAGGAGTCAAAGTACCAACTTCTTCCTCCTGACTGCTTCCCTCTTCAGCTGCTGACTGTGAAATTCTCCTTATTTACCTGGCACTTTCACACAGATTGGTAACACACTGCTATGGCTACTTGCTCCTAACATCTTTTTTTTCCTACAATTGACAGCACGTGTCTTCCCACTGAAAAATACGCTCAGTAACGTTATGTCTGGTATCCAAAACCCCTTACTCTCTACTTTCCCATCTTCTCTCCCCTTTCAGAAATGACAGCCTCAAAAGAGCACCCTTTGTCAATAAGAGTTCCAGTTCTTCTCTTTCCTCAGTGCAGATCAGGGTAAGCGTGTCCAATTGAGGAAGAACGCCTGCGATCACAAACTTTTCACTTCAATGCAATTAGGGATTTGCCACTGGAATCCGTGCCTTCTTGGGGTCAGCTTCTACTAGCTGCAATGAGATCCTCATGAGATGCAGTTTTAACACCACTTGGGCAGAAGTAGTCCTGATATCATTTCACAAGCATTGCTTTAATAAAAGTCCTTTGCAAAATCGTTATTAAAATGACTCTCAAAGTTTCTGATTGTCCTTTGCTATTAGCCTTCATCCTCCCAACAGCTCTGTGCTCTGTCTCATGACACTCCTACTCCCTTATTACTCTACTATTCCCTTCTAAGATTTCATGGTTATAGGCCACTCCACACCCTCTCTACCACACTGACAAATGCTGCAGTGACCTCTGGCACGTATCGCCATCATAGTTACATCCACAGCATCAAACCTGCAAGATCTCCATGATCCGTCTCTGACTTGTGGGTCACCTTTGGCCACTCTATTTCTTTATGCTTCTGCCTTCCCAGCCATAAAACAACCGTGTTCTTTGATATTTATGGATGAAAACCACAGAACAGAGTGTACTACTTAGAAGAAGTTTTCAAGAGTGCTGCAACCTCACTGAATGACTGAATCCATGCCAAGATTAATTATATCTGATAGACCTATCAATTAAATATTTGCAAAGGGTCCTGCTGGATGATGGCTATCAGCTACTGATCTAACACACTTTATTCTTGTACCTGCTTGCTCAATTATTCCTTGATGAAGAGGAATAGATCTGAAGCACCCATGCATCTCCAGCCTCAGATAAACGGTCTTGTTTTAATTCTTCGCCATTGCAGTCCAAGTGATGCTAAATGGATCTAACATTCCTGGGGCAAGTTATCTTTCTTTTCATGAAAAGAAATATAGCTCAACTCTTCCTTCCCAAGCATCCTCTCAAATACCCCTGGCAGCATTCAGTTGGGTGCTGGGAGTTCTGACCAAAAGAGCTGAAGCTCTGCCTGAGAATGTTTCCCACCCACACACTGCAAGTGTTCAGGAGCCAATCTTATTTATGAAGTTTAGTTTGATTTCCAGTCTCTTGTGCCAAAATCCCAATGAGATGTGATTTATACACAGGAGTGGTTGCAGAATTTTGGTATTATTTGCTACAGACCAGTACACTCGTTTCAACTGTTTTGGGGTCCATAGACAAGCTATGACATAAAAACTGGTAGCACAGAACTTTGGATATGACAGAGGGCATCAAGAGACGCAGATACACATTCAAATGACAACAAAAAGTATCAGAGATCTCTTGAATAAAAGACATTGAAACAGAACTGAAAATTGCATTAACTGTATTGTCACAACGGAGCAAGAACCCTCTGGAATCAGACAGCTTCCTTTGGATGCTTCATCAGGCACACTGCTCTGCAATAAGCCAAACTAAGAACCCAGACAAACAATAAACATCTCGTAGACAACATCCTTTGGACTGATCTGGAATCAAATATGAATCAATTCTGGTGCCTGGGTCTCTTTTGCATAGAAAGCAAGCAATTCCATGTTTTCTCATGATATATCAGGAATGACTTTGGAGACAGAACTGATTCACTGCATTCATTCATGTTGAACTGCAGCAAATGTAAAATTTACTTGCCAGTCTCATTCACTACCCTTGCTCAGTTGAAATAGTTGGGGCTAATATTGCATTAACTCTTCCTCCACGTAAGAAGGTGCCCGCGTGCCTCCTCACCATGACTCTGACAGGGGACCAATGCCAGCCTGGAAGGAGTGAGTGCTCTATGGAGTTCAGTTCTGTTGTTTACATCAGTTGTCCCATACATACTCGGAACCTATTTTCTGTACTGATTCCTCCGCTCAGTTTCCGTTTCTGTCTAAAAAAAGGGGCTACAAAGGCAAAGAAAAGAATTGTAGTCCTGAACACTTGCCAGGAAAACGTAACTATCCCCACCTCATAGCCCGAGGTAAAGGCTATGAGCGTTCATCGTTTGTGACAGACCCGTTGTGCCCCTTCCCAAAGCTCTGTGTCAAGAGTAACGCTACAGCAGCACGGAGTGACAAAACAAGCCGGGGTACCGAGACTGACTGCAACCTCCCGATTACAAAGCAGCCTTCCGAACAATGCACACAAGTCCCACAGCTAGCTTAGCTACTCGCTGCCTCGGTGCTCCTCGGGACGCTCCTACACGCTTCAATCAGTGCGGCGGGGCCCGGCAGGGCAACACGCGGTGATGGGAGTGCCACGGCCGCCGGCTGCGGAGCGGCTCCCGGTTCCGAACCCGGATCGCCACAGCAACGCGGCAGGTTCCCGAACACCGCACCGTATCCCACGGGTGAACACCGCGTTTCCTCTGAAGCGAAAAAGAAAGCGTGTAAATTCGATTCCTAGATGCGATTCCTTCCCACCTGCTGCTCCCACCCCATCGTTCGCGTAGCAGCCTCTTTCCCCCTCCCCTGGCTCCGGAGCAGGGAAGAAGACGCCAGGCAGGGCAGCTCCCGCGAAGCTGCCCTCGGGGCCGGCAGAAGAGGAACGAAGGGGCCCGCGGGCTCGGGTACGGCGGGCCGCTCGCCCACTCGCCGCGGCCCCGCTCCGTGCCCCGGGCCGGCGGGGCACCGGGAGCCTCGGCCACCCGCAGCGGACGAGGAGGGCCGAGAGCCGCCCCGGTCCGCGGGCGCCGCCCGCGAGGCTCCTCCCGCCCGCCGGGAGCCGCCGGGCCGGGCCGGGGGCGGAGGAGGCGGGGAGGGGGAGCCGCTGCCGTCACCGAGGCTCCCGGCTCGCTCGGCTCGCCGCCGCGGCAGCCCCAGCCCCGCTCCCACCCCCTCGCCTGCCCCCACCCTCCTTCCCTTTCTCTCGCTCTCTCGGCGAGAGCGGCGTGCTTCTTCTCGCAGGTGGCGGCCGGCAGCGCCATGCGACCTCCTGTTCCTCCTGCTCCTCGCCTTCCTCTCCGGCGCTAAGTCAATGCCATGCTGCCGCTGCTCCTGCCGGCGCTGCTGGCCGCCTGCCTGCCGCCCTGCCAGGGCTGGAGCCCCTCGGCGGCCGCCGGCGGGCAGGAGGAGCAGGAGCTCTTCTCGCCGCCTGCCAACTCCTCCTCCCGCTCCCCGGCCGGCCTCGAGATGGACCTCGACGGGGCAGCGAGCAAGGAGGACGGCGGCACCGCCAGCCCGGGCACGCCGGCGACCCCCAGCCGAGAGCCGTCCCCTTCTGCCCCCACCTCCTCGGGGCAGCAGCAACAGCAGCAGCCGCGGCTCCAGCAGCCTCAGCTCGCCGAGGACCCGCACTGCAATATCAGCGTGCAGCGGCAGATGCTGAGCTCGCTGCTGGTGCGCTGGAGCCGCCCGCTGGGCATCCAGTGCGACCTGCTGCTCTTCTCCACCAACAGCCACGGGCGGGCCTTCTTCTCCGCCGCCTTCCACCGCGTGGGGCCGCCGCTGGTCATCGACCACCTGGGGCTGGCGGCCGGCGGCGCCCAGCAGGACTTGCGGCTGTGCGTGGGCTGCAGCTGGGTGCGGGGCCGCCGCGTCGGGCGGCTGCGGGGCTCGGCGCCCCAAGCGCAGCCTCAGCCCCAGCCCGCCGCCTCCTCGCTGTCCTACCCGCCGGCGGCCGAGCCCGGCCAGTACTGGCTGCAGGGGGAGCCGCTCAATTTCTGTTGCTTGGATTTCAGCCTGGAGGAGCTGAAGGGCGAGCCGGGCTGGCGGATGAACCGTAAGCCCATCGAGTCCACGCTGGTGGCGTGTTTCATGACTCTGGTCATCATCGTGTGGAGCGTGGCCGCCCTCATCTGGCCGGTGCCCATCATCGCCGGCTTCCTGCCCAACGGCATGGAGCAGCGCCGCAGCGCCGGCACGGCCGCGGCCGCCAGCAAGTAGCCATCCCGGGACCCCCATCGTTCGTCGTGTGCTGTGAGGGACGCGGGCGGGCCGGGCTGTGCGCGCTGCCCCTCCTGCCGCGTTTGTTCTCGTGTGTGAAGCGTGTGAAGGTGCGCTGCGCGACCGGCCGCCGCAGGGGATCCGCTGCCCCGCGCCCCCTTCGGCCCCGCCGCCGCCACGACCGCATCCTGTGTGCTCGTTTTGTACCTTTAATAACCGTTTTAAAACGACTTTTTAGAAAAAAAGAAAGAAAAAAAAAAAAAAAAAAAGCGTTCCCCTCCAAAATCTACGCGGAAAATAAAAGACCCTCCCGTTCAACCGCATTTTCTGTAGTCGGCGGTTTTTCTTTGTGTGTATGAGCGCAGTCTGAGCGGGTCTTCTCGTTACTTACAGCAAGGGACGTCTCCTGTTGGCGGGTCTAGAACTGAAGCAGTGTGTCTGTTGTTATTGCTGAAGTTGAACGAGCCTTTTCCACTGTATTTCCCTGCTGAAGTAGTGTGTGTTTATTATCGTTATCTCCACGTTATTTGGCTTTTAATACAGAGGTTTCTTTCAAGAACCTCCTAAGACTTTTGTGAGTCTGTTTCCACCAGGATGGATGTGAGAGTTAAGCCAACCTGTATCCAACCTGTCCTCAAAGCTCATCTTTCCCCGTGAGAAGCTGTTAATGGGGTTGGTGGTGAAAAGGGGAGCTGTAAGCCCTTTCTGAGTGGTGTTTGTCGCATCTTTGCAGTACGTTAAGGTCGTATAGCTACGTCAGGGTGAGGTGGGATGGAGAACATGTCTGTTCTGGAGGTCCTCCAAGGGTATTTGCTTGGCTCGGCTCAAGCGCTATGGCTTTCTCACCAGTTAGAGGTTGGGTGGTTTTGGTCCTGGGAAGATCATTGTAAGGTCTTTGAGACATTCTACAAGCAGCACAGTGGTGAATCTCATCACCTCCACCAAGTGCATTCCACAACAGCAGCTCAGACCCAGTGCATGTGCTGAAGGGATTGTGATGTGGTGCTTCTTTCTCAGCTCCAATTCTATAAGGTTGCTCACGGAAAGTCTGTGGGGTGGAGAATGAAGAGAAACCACGGGTTCACAGCTAGATTGTGCAAGCGTGTAAGAAAGAAAGGTTTGCAAGATTTCTTCTTCCCTATCCAAGCAGGCAGTTGCATAGTGTGAAGTGTCGCTTGGTGCATGCTTGGAATTCTTCAGCCTTACCAGAGGTTGTTTCACTTGCCTTAGACACAATTAGTCCAGCTGAAGTTTCTGCAATCAATATATAAGCTAAATGAGAGGGACTTGCGATAGGAATTCTCCTTCCTTTGTCAACATCAGTGTCTTTAATTTGTTGGAAACATACAAACTCACTCGGAGGCTAATCTGGTATATTTGTAATGCTTCCTTCCCCACGGTCTGGTGGAAATGACTGGATGAAAAACCTGGAAGGATTGAATTTTTAGGATTCTCTTGATCAAGGACGTTTTTTTCCTATATTTTTTAATTGAGAACAAAATAACAAAAATGCATGCTCCGTGTTTGCGATATCTGGAGGAAAATGCAGATAAAAAACAGATTGATAAACTGCCTAAATAAATGAAATCAAGATTTTAAAATCTTCCATGTCACTGTGCTACCTCAACATCCACCATTTCTCTGGTTGATTGCATGTCCCTGGAGTAAATGTAGCCACGGGGTTGTTTGGGAAGCAGAGGGTCTGCTTGCCACGAGAAGTTTGCTTTTGGCCTGTTGAAGCGAAGGGCACATTGCACTGTGTTCTGTCTGCATCTGAGATGAGATGCACAGAAATGCATCTTGCTGGAGTGCGATTATTTGCCTGCAATGACCTGTGTGAGATACAAGCCTTTTCATAATGAAAGGCAAGGCTACCGAGAGAATCAGGTCGTGTTAAACACCTTCCCAAAAGATAAACGCTCTGCATACTCAATAACTATTGGAAACGTGGCCGTGACAGAAAAGCATTTCGTGTTAATGAGGTGCATTTAGTCGGAGTTAACAACTCCTGCTGAAGTTGTGCTGTGGTGCATAGTACTCAAGGTTATAATCTCTTCCTGCTTATCCTGGTTTCACCGGTGATGTGCCGATGTTTTCTTTCTGAATTGCATCAGCATAAGCAAGGGAGTGATGCTGCTGTCAGGAGCAGGCAGCTTCAGTTATTAAAGGCTTTTTATTTGCTGTTCTTATACACCTACTAAGAACTCTAAAATTGGTACTGTGTCTTTGAACATCTGCCAACATCAGCTTGAATACAAACCGCATAAATAGGCACTGCCATTGTGGGAGGCATTCAGAGACTACTGATCTTGGATACAAAGTGTAAAGAGCACTTCTCAGTTAAAGAAAGCATTTTTCTTAGACTGCAGAAGGGTTTTGCACATCCCCTTCACAGAGGACAGGTGTTTCTGTCCCATGTAAGCAAGGACTGCCTGGCACAACAGAGGGCATAGAGTACTGCCTGCACCAGGCGTAGGCTGACATCTCCCAGCCTCGGCTGGCAGTGAGGTGGCAGCAGTTTCTCCTGAGGACAGTTGCAGTTTGGCACCTGTAGCCATTCTGGAATCCTGGTGATCGCTGATGGGCCAGAGTTGACCCGGCAGTGAGTATCAGCAGCCATGGGCTGGAGTGGTCGTTGTGGAAATGCATTACACAGAAAGTTGTTTTTTTTCTGGGCACTGCTGTGGTGCTCCAGCATCAAACAGTAACCCTGCTTCCCAAGCTGTGGCTGCTGCTGTGCCCCTTGGTAACCACTGGGGTAACAACAGATGGTGTCCTTTCTATCACCGCTTTCCTCTGCATCCATGGGAGTTTGGTCTGAATTAAACCTGGAAGATTCAAGCCCAAAGTGATGTAAAATGATACAGCGCCATGCCAGCTAGTTGCAGCTTCCAACTCCAGACACTGAAATGTCTATTTTCTCTTTCAGTGGCAGTGGAGTTTTATTGTCGCTTTACTGAGGATGATTCTAAGCCCTTTTTATTCATTTGGATTTATTTTTGAAGCCTGTTGTCAGCATGGCCAGCATCAGGGCAGAGCCATCCACATATACCCCTTCATATACTCAGGGTGGACATATGTGTACATATGTATTCATATGTATAGATCTGAGGATTTATTCAGGTCAGAAAAAGGGTAGTGAGAAACAAATAGTACTGAACAAGTTGTACTGGTTTTCCTTTACTACTTGTCTGATCGCGTTCCCTGGTACGTGAGCCTGACTTTATTTATGTATGTGCTTACTGGAAGGTAAGGGATACCTAGAAACAGAGGCAATTTGTCAATTTCCTTTTCATGTAATTCAACTAAATTGGATTATTATGTTTTCATTCCAAGAACCAGGAACTCCCTCTAGAGAGATCTTCGGCACTTGGAGGTATTCAATGGCTCAAATGCTGCTGTTAAGACTGCCATACTTTTATTTCCTCTGTATTCTGACACCAGAAATATGTTTCTCTTTCTCACATATTTGCTTAGTTCTGTTTTATAGGTGTATTAGAAGCATAGAGATGAATATTAGTTTTAACATGGATACAGTTTTGGTGTTACTCGGTTTCACACGCATTCCCATGATAAAAAGATGAAGATGTCATGCAGTGCAATTGCAGTTGTATAATATGTAAGTATATTGCAGTTCAATAGGTATTTACTAATCAAGAGCAGTTTCTGTATGTCAGGATATATGTGAATACTTGGGGCACTGATATCCATATTTGGGTAAAGACGAGAACTGTCGTTTCTTCAGGGCTCAGTTCATTAGTGCTTTCAGTGATTAACATGCGCTGCAACACTACCATTTGTGCAGTAAATATTACTCAGTGTGAGTAAGGGCTACTGAACCAGGCCCTAAAAATTTTAATTAAATGCCTTGCTTGTCTGAGTAAGTATTATTCATCGTGACCTCAGCTTGCTGAATAGAAGTGTCCTCAGGGCCTACATTACACGATCCCAGGGGCTGAACAAAAGCCCAGTGAAATCAAATGATGAAGTTAATTGAAATTTGCTATGACTAAAGATCAGAGAGTCTATTTTAAAGATGTGTATCTAGATGCAAAAGTAGGCAGTGCCTTGTTGTTCCTCCCTGTTTCTTACACACATCGTTTCTAAGTAAGTCTAAAGCTGGGATTTCTTGGTACAGTGTAAAGCTTTGCTGGTTTGAAAATCAGCTTCTTTCTGAAGCTGGTTTGGAAATGCCAATGGCTTTTCAATGCATTTCATTGAGTAAATGTCACTTTCTTTCACAGCGTATTTCAGGGAAAGGCCTTGAATTTTCAAAGAAATGCTCCACGATTATGGGGAGATATGGAAACATCCAATCACAAACAATCAGATTTAAAAGCATAAATAATCTTTTAAAGCGGTAACTCACATATAAAAGCATGTTTTAAGACAAAAACATTGTTTTCCACTTTTCCTTCGAAACTAGAGTATCTCCAGGAAGATCAGAAGTGCATATGAGTCTTTTGCAAAAGTGATTTTGTGAGAAGAAAGATACTTTTGTAATCCTCTATTTGTAAGCTGTTCTAATGACAGCATTCTCTCCAGTGATCAATGGCAGGTTAGGGTTGATGCTCCTTTGTAATAATTCAGGCTTAATAAATGTTCCAAACTTTTGCAAATTAAAAAATAATCATAATCTAGCTTAGCCTGTTTGTTTGGTTCTCTTCTATATGGCAAGGGAGGGAGCAGACTGCAGTAACATTTGGGATTTACTAGAGATGTCTGCATCGTGTTTAATTAGATTTGTAGCCAAATTAGATCTCACAAACCAAACATGTTCCAATATTCATCAGTATAACAACCAGAGGGGTCTGTTGATGTGCTCGTTGGCAAAGCCAGTCACCAAAACCTTACTTCTGATTTTGGCTTTCTTGTTGTGTCAACAAGCTACTGGTGTCAAAATAAAAGTGTGAGATTCAAATATCCTGTGAAACTCCCTGTGTTTCTCTGTGTTTGACTTGTTCTTAACTTTCATGGAAAAACACCTGATTAATGAAGCAAATTGTAGATCAATGCTGTTCTGAACCAGTGTATTTGCAGGGGGTGTGAAGTTAAATTATGTTTTTTGTTCCTTGTATGATGAGACTTGCTAGAAGCAGTGGGACCTTACCTTGCTGGTGTCATTCTGGGTGTTGCTAAGCAACATGAAGTGGTTAAAATGAAGATGCAGAACACCGAAGAATAAAGGAAACCAAGAAATAGAAGCATAAAAAAAGGAGTAAATGTGCCAGTGCATTCTGCAAACAAGTTGAGAAATACCAACTGGGGAAAAACAGCAATTAAGATAATAGTGCAAAAAGGGAATGAAGAGCTTGATTCCGTGCTTTGTATTCTATCAAAATTTTCAGTGTTTTACCTGAAGAATGGAATGCAGTTTTGGCCAAATGACAAAAACGATGGTGAAAGAAAATAGGAACCTGTGAAGAAATGGGAGACTAAAGGAAAAAATAGGGGTGGAACCTCCGTACTGTAGATAAAAAGAGGAAAGAAATCACTCTAGATATTGCTGGAAACCATACAGCAAAATGGCAAGGCACTCTCTTGCTCACACTCTCCAGTCTAGCATTCTTCAGATGTTCTCTGAAGTTGCAAGGAAAACGTGCTAAATGCTGTTTTTATTGAATATGTAAGTTTCTTGCATCACATCTTGCTTTGATCCATGACAGGCATGTGTTTCTTTTTGTCCAGCACAAGAATGCTCACTAGAATTGTATTAAAGTTTTTCACTTGAACTGAAATAGTGCTGGTGTGACTGTATTTCCCAGGCCAGACCGCTGCTGTTGACTAGACTACATGCTGGTCTGCTGTTTATGGCATGTTGATGATCTGTATTGCAAGTATCTCATCACTCATGTATTTGAAAGAATGCTTACTTTATCTTCATTTCTTATAGTCAGTGTACCCTGAGTTTCACTCAGTTTTTTCTTCTGTCATTGAAAATGAATCATTCTCAAGATCTGCTCCTTCTTGTTTACTTATTTATTGACTGCAGTGCAGGATGCACCTCATCCTTCTCTCTCTTCTAACCAAGCACAGGTGTCTCCCACCTTGAGAAAGCTCTGCACAGCCAGAGAAACAGTGATCTCACTTAGAAGAGCGCCAACAAGAAAAGCTGCACTGAGCTCAGGCACGCACGTACAGTGTCAGAAACATTACGTTTCAGTTGAAGCTTGAATTCTGCAGAAGGCCCTTGCATGGATGATAGTACATGGAAGAATTATACAAACAGAGGGCCTCGGTGGATTCTTCCAGCGCTGGTCTAGCAGCATTCTGGCTTTACTGGTGTGTGACTCCAGCCAGGACAACACGCTGCAGCCCTCCTTGTCTGAATTGACATGTATCTACAGTTCAGGCTGATGTCTGTGAGCGCTCAAGCCTTCTGAAAACAGCAAGTCTGCCTGTCTCTGTTTCTCTATCTGTAGAGAAAATAATATTCACCCTTCTCAGACTGTGAATGGATTAATTTGCTGAATCCCATATGGCATTTTGAGCATGCAGAGGACAATAAAAATGCAAAACATGACCATGATTTTATTCCTGCCCTGTTCTTTTTCTCACCGAAGAACAATGTTTCAGCCTCAAGTTGTTAAATTAATTCCACACATTTTTATCCACAATTTAGCCAGGCAATAGCTGTGCTCTGGAAATGCTTTTCCCACTGAAAGGTACTGCTGTGAGATGATATATTAAAAACAAATCATTACTACATGATGAATGTTACTGGAAGAGATTCTCATTAATCCACAAGTATATGAAAGAATCCCCCAATGTGCATGAAATACTTTCTAGGAGGTAAATATATGAAAAAAATGGTGTGGAGGTAGCTTGCAGAGATTTAATCATGGGGCTATTTCATTTCTTTTCTTGCACTACTTGTTTCATCAGTTTCTCTGGGGAATGTCAGTTGAGCCTAATTATGCCAGCAATATAGTTGCTTCTAAATGGAAACTGGAAACTGTTTTCTTCAGGCAATACATACCATGAATTCTTCAATTTTTTTCTTTTCCTCCAGGACATATAAAACACTTAACAATGTCAGGACAAATCATTTTCATAACACAGAGAAACCCAC